TACACACTGACTACTGAGTCTCCTCCGGTCTCTTCGTCTGGTCAGGTAGCTGCGTCAAGTCAGGTGTCTGCTACGGCGTCCAGGTCTGGTCCTGCGTCTGCCCCCTGCTCGTGTCGTCTCCTGTCTCACCAGACTCTCCTCTAGCACCACCGCCTTGGTCGCCCCTCGCTGCCTCGTCTCCGAGGCATGGCCTCCCGTGTCCTTGTCTCTGGTCTCCCCCGGTCCCTCCCTCCTCTTCCTCCGGGGCCTGCCCCTACCTGCGTTCCCTGCGTAGAGGGGCGGCAGCGTGCTGCTCCTCACTCCTCCGAGTTTCCTCCGACAGAGGCTCCGCTGCAGACGCTTCACATGGACGTGTGGGGCCCAGCCCGCATCTGTGGACAAGGTCACGAGCGTTACTTCCTGCCGGTGTTTGACGACTACTCGCGTTACACCACAGTCTTCCCCTTGCGCAGCAAGGGTGAGGTCACTGTGGTGTTGATCGGCTGGATCCGCGCTGCTCGTCTCCAGCTCAGAGAGAGTTTCGGCTCGGACTTTCCTGTTCTGCGTCTGCACTCTAACAGAGGCGGAGAGTTTTCCTCTGACCTTCTGCGAGCCTTCTGTCGTGCACAGGGCATCCGCCAGACGTTCACGCTTCCGGCCTCTCCACAGCAAAATGGGATTGCTGAGCGCCGCATTGGCATGGTCATGGACGTCGCTCGTACGTCCATGGTCCATGCGGCTGCCCCCCATTTTCTGTGGCCGTTTGCGGTTCGGTACGCGGCGCATCAGATCAACCTTCAGCCCCGGGTCTCCATGCCGGAGACCTCCCCTGCTTTGCGATGGACCGGGAAGGTTGGCGATGCGTCTGCGTTCCGTGTCTAGGGATCTCGGGCATTTGTCCGCGACTTGTCTGCGGACAAGCTGTCCCCCCTGTGCTGTTCCCTGTATCTTCCTTGGCTTCCCCCTTGACGCGCCAGGTTGGCAGCTCTACCACCCCACCTCGCGACGTGTTCTGTCCTCCCAGGACGTCACGTTTGACGAGTCGGTTCCGTACTACCGTCTCTTCCCCTACCGCACTGCCTCCCTCCCCCCGCCGCCGCTCTTCCTCGCGCCAGGTCCCCCCCCGGTAGACCCCCTTCCCCATCAGGGTCATGCCCCCTCAGGTGTGTCCCAGGTAGATGCTGTCGAGTCTGTCGAGGTAGCTGTTGACTCTGGTGCCACTAGGGGTGCTGAGCCTGCGGGTATGGGGTCTGGGGGTGCTGAGCCTGCGGGTGCGGGGTTTGGGGGTGCTGACTTTGGGGGTGTTCAGCCAGGGAGTGCTGAGACTTGAGGTGCTGAGACTGGGGGTGTGGAGCCTGGGGGTGCGGAGCCTGAGGGTGCTGGGCCTACTCGTGTGGCGTCTGGCGGTACTGGGCCTGGAGGTCCTTCGGGTGCTTCGTCCCGCAGGGAGCTGCTCTCTCCACAGGAGATGCGCAAGTGGTTTGCTCGGCGCTGGAGCCGTGCTGCTGGAGCTAGAGGTACTGCTGGTGTTGAAGGTTCTACTACTGCTGAGGGTGCTGGAGCCACGGGTCCCGGAGGTGCTCGTACCAGGGGTACTGGAGCTGCTGGGCCTGCGGGTGCTCCTGGTGCTGGAGTTAGTGGTGCTGCTGGAGTAGGTGCTATTGGAGGTGCTGGAGCTGGAGCTTCTCTGTCTTCTGGTGGTCCGACTGGAGCTGGAGGTGCTGGGGGTGTTGGCGCTGGAGGTGCAACTGGCGCTAGTACTTGTGAGGGTGCTGGAGATGGCGCTGCTGGAGCTGGGGGTGCTACTGGCGCTGGTGCTGCCTTTGGGGGTACTGGTGCTGTTCCTGCTGGTTTTGGGGGCACTACACGGCCGCGGCTGTACTTCGTTCCGCTCCTTGAGCAGGTTCTTGGTCTTCCATCCTTTCTTGGTTCTACTCCTCTCTTAGAGTGTCCGCCGCCTGTCCAGTCCGAGTCACAGTTACAGCCAGCCTCCCCAGTGCCTGCTCCCTCTCCCTACACTGGTCCTACTAGAGGTCTTACGGAGCGTCGTGAGCCTGCGTCTCGTCCTGCGTCGCCTGTCCGTGCTGCTCGCACGAGTGGTTGTGGTTCACGTCAGCGTCCTCCGCCTCTCCCCGGCACGCACCGGATGTCTCTGCGTCCTTCCACTGCTCCGCTGCATGCCCCTTTACCTTCTCCTCCCGAGTCCTCTCTTCCTGCTATTGCTGACCCGGAGTCGGACTCCCTTCGTGCTGCCAGTCCTATTGTCACGCGTCTCCTTGCTACTGTCGTCACTGACCCTTCCTTTGAGTCCACTGCTGCGTCTTTCTGTCCTCCGTCCGTTGGGGGTGAGTGTGCTCTTAGCACGGACGTCCTTGAGGACAGGCAGGAGGAGTTCCAGTGTTTTGCTGCTGCTTTGCCTCATCTCGTGTCCATGCTGATTGCCCCTGAGGGAGACCCGGATGCACCAAACATTCCGACTCCTCGATTGTACGCTGAGGCGATCGAGGGTCCCTACTCCTCACAGTGGCAGTCAGCCATGGACACAGAGATGGCTTCTTGGAAGTCCACAGGCACCTACGTCGACGAGGTTCCCCCACCTCGGGTGAACATCGTCAGTGGCATGTGGATTTTCAGGGTGAAGCGGCCGCCGGGTTCTCCGCCTGTCTTCAAGGTGCGTTACGTGGCTCGAGGCTTCAGTCAGCAGCAGGGAGTTGACTACTTTCAGACATTCTCCCCCACCCCAAAGATGACCACTCTTCGGGTGCTGCTGCACATAGCCGCTCAGCGCGACTACGAGCTTCACTCTCTTGACTTCAGCACAGCTTTCTTGCAGGGCAGCTTGCACGAGGAGATCTGGCTGCGCCGCCCACCTGGCTTGACTGGGTCGTTTCCTTCTGGTACCCAGTGGTGAGAAAATGAGAACGAGAATGAATGAACTATGAATGAACTGAGTACAAGTACTAACCCTAATTGGGTTGTACCCTTTGTGGGCTACCCCACTATAGCCTACACAATATGCAAAAGCTATATGTTCTGACACACCCCCATAGGCAAAGTGGGGGAGAACAAGGGGTCACAAGACCAGTCAAGTAAAGCAAAGCAAAGCAAGCTCAGGGTGGATCACAAAGTCACCACACAGTCCGAGCACAAGGTCAAGGCCACAAGGCCAGTTCACATGCAGGGGTAGACAGATATATATAAGGCTAAACAAGGAAGAGCAGGTATATATATATATATATGTGCAATATTACAAGCAAGGTCAAGAGGCGAGCAAGTGAGGCAAGACTGGGACAAGTCCCTGCTGAGTGCAGAAGCGCTGATGATCACAAGGCGGAAGTGCCTTGGTGAAAACATCAGCAGTGTTGGCCTCAGAGGCCACGTACGCAAGTCGCAACTGACCACGCTGCTGCAGCTAACGAGCAAGAAAGTAGCGGAGAGCAATGTGCTTCGTTCTGTGCTCTAGACGCTGCTCACGACACAAGGCCAGCATGGCCTTGTTGTCTACGTACAGCACTGGAGGAGAACGAGGCGACTCTCCAAGGTCGGTCAGCAGGTAGGTGAGCCAGCGTAGCTCCTGTGCAGCCATGGCCCCGGCGTAGATCTCAGCCTCACAACTGGAGCCGAGAACAGAGGACGAGCAAGTAGCCCGCCACGAAACAGAGCCAGAACCAAGACTGAAGGTGTAACCCTGGGACGACCGCTGAGTAGCCTGGTCGTCAGCCCAAGAAGCGTCCGCGTGCCCAGTGAGGACCACTGGACTCCGCCCTCCAAGCACTAGCCCCATGCCTGAAGTACTGCACAAGTAGCGCAACACCCTCTTCGCTGCAGCCATGTGCTCTGGTCTGTGTCTCCCAGGAGCAACATAGCGTGCAAGAATGCTAAGAGGGTATGCAAGGTCAGGTCGTGTGCAGGTCATCAGGTACATGAGGCAGCCAACAAGCTCTGGGTACGGGCCACTCGACTCTACGGACTCATCCGAAGGCAGAGCTGAGAGCGAGTGGCGAGTAGACACAGGAGTGGCCTGAGGCGAGGAGTACGTGAAGCCGAAGCGCTGAAGGACCTGCTGCACCATGTGTGACTGAGTCAAGGTAATGGTGCGGCGTGCTCTGTCCCGGGTGATCTGCAAGCCAAGGTAGCTGCGCAGTTCACCCAGGTCTGTGCACGTGTGTCTCTTCTGCAGCTCGGACTTCACGTAGGCGAGTCCAGCAGTGTCAGCTGTGGCAAAGACCAAGTCGTCGACGTACACGAGGATGTAGAACGGCGGCAGAGAGGTGTCGGTGCGCAGAAACAACGACGGGTCAGCAGTAGAGGGAGCAAACCCAAGAGCCGCAAGCGTAGTCCTTAGTGTGTCGTGCCACTCACGTGGTGCCTGGCGGAGACCGTAGACTGGCCGCCAGAGGCTCCACTGGGTGCCAGGAGGGAAGTCCCAGTGAAGCCAAGTGGACGGCGCAGCCTGATCTCCTCGTGCAGGCTACCCGGCAAGAAAGCAGTGCTGAAGTCAAGAGAGTGAAGCTCGTAGTCGCGCTGAGAGGCTATGTGCAGCAGCACCCAAAGAGTGGTCATCTTCGGGGTGGGAGAGAAGGTCTGAAAGTAGTCAACTCCCTGCCGCTGACTGAAACCACGAGCGACGTACCGCGCCTTGAAGACAGGCGGAGAGCCCGGCGGCCGCTTCACCCTGAAGATCCACATGCCACTGATGATGTTCGCCCCAGGAGGGGGAACCGCGCCAACGTAGGTGCCTGTGGACTTCCAGGAAGCCATCTCTGCATCCATAGCTGCCTGCCACTGAGAGGAGTAGGGACCCTCTACGGCCTCCGCGTAAGAGCGCGGAGTCGGGATGTCTAGTGCATCCGGGTCTCCCTCAAGGGCAAGCAGTACGGACGCGAGATGAGATGAAGCAGCAGCCAGACACTGGAACTCCTCCTGCCTGTCCTCAAGGACGTCCGTGCCAAGAGCACACTCACCCCGGACGGACGGAGGACAGACAGACGCAGACTCAGCAACAAGGCTAGCAGCGTAGTCTAGACGACAGCGAGCTGCAAAGTCGACGAGCTCAGCAACAAGAGCAGACGCAGCAGTGGACTCAAAAGAGGGGTCAGCGACGACAGTAGCAAGGAGACGCGTGACAGTAGGACTGGCAGCACGAAGGGGGTCCGACTCCGGGTCAGCAAGAGCAGGAAGAGAGGACTCAGGAGGAGAAGGCAAAGGGGCACGCAGCGGAGCAGTGGACGGACGCAGAGACAACCGGTGACGCGAACCGTGACCACTAGCGCGAGAAGCACGAACAGGCAACGCGGGAAGAGACGCAGGCTCACAACGCTCAGCAAGACCTCCAGTAGGACCAGTGTAAGGAGAGGGAGCAGGCAGAGGGAAGGCGGGCTCTAATTGTGACTGAGACTGGACAGGCGATGGACACTCTACAGGAGGAGAAAGACCAAGAACCTGCTGCAGGAGCGGAACGAAGTATGGCCAAGGCCGCGCGGCAACTCCAGACACAGCAGGGACAGCACCAGCACCCTCAGAGGCAGCACCAGCGCCAACAGCACCTCCAGCTGCAGGACCTTCAGCAGCACCAGCAGCACCCGCAGCAGGACCACCGCCAGGACGGACAGCAGTAGTCTCAGCACCAACACCCTCAGCAGCTCTAGCTCCAGTCCGACCCGCAGGCTCAGCAGCTCCGGGACCGGCGGCACCAGCACCCTCAGCGGCCAAAGAAGCTCCAGCTCCAGCAGTACGGCTCCAGCGGCAAGTAAACCACTCGCGCAGCTCCTTTGGAGAGAGGGGTTCCCGCCGAGACAAAGCACCCGGAGAACCTCCAGACTCAGCACCGCCAGACGCCACAAGGGGAGGTCCAGCGACCGCAGGCTCCGCACCTCCTGACTCAGCACTCCCAGGCTCAGCACTCCCAGGCTCAGCACCCCCAGGCTCAGCACCCCCAGGCCCAGCACCCCCAGTCGCAGTACCCCCAGGCTCAGCACCCCCAGTCGCAGCACCCCCAGACTCAGCACCCCCGGGCTCAGCACCCACGCGCGCAGCACCCCCAGAGTCAGCACCCCAAGGCTCAGCACCCGCAGCAGTACCAGAGTCACCAGCAACCTCGACCGGCTCGACTACGTCAACCTGGGACACCTTTGAAGGGGCAGGACCCTGAGGGGGAAGGGGGTCTACCGGGGGGGGACCTGGCACGAGGAAGTGCGGTGGCGGGGGGAGGGAAGGAGTGCGGTAGGGGAAGAGGCGGTAGAAGGGGACTGACTCGCCGAACGTGACGTTCTGGGAGGACATAACACGACGAGAGGAGGGGTGATAGAACTGCCACCCTGGTGCGTCAGGGGGGAAACCAAGGAAGACACAGGGAGCAGCATGAGGGGACAGCTTGTCCGCAGACAAGTCGCGGACAAACGCCCGAGATCCCCAGACACGGAACGCAGACGCATCGCCAACCTTCCCCGTCCATAGCAGAGCTGGGGAGGTCTCCGGCCGGGAGACCCTAGGGTGAAGGTTGATCTGATGCGCCGCGTACCGAACCGCAAACGGCCACAGAAAATGGGGGGCAGCCGCATGCATCATGGACGTACGAGCGACATCCATGACCATGCCAATGCGGCGCTCAGCAATCCCATTTTGCTGTGGAGAGTCCGGAAGCCTGAAGGTCTGGCGGATGCCTCGCGCACGACAGAAGGCTCGCAGAAGGCCAGAGGAGAACTCTCCGCCTCGGTCAGAGTGCAGACGCAGAACAGGAAAGTCTGAGCCGAAGCTCCTCCTGAGCTGGAGACGAGCTGCGCGGATCCAGGCGATCAACACCGCAGTGACATCACCCTTGCTGCGCAAGGGGAAGACTGTGGTGTAACGCGAGTAGTCGTCAACCACCAGCAGGAAGTAGCGCTCGTGACCCTGTCCACGGACGCGGGCCGGGCCCCACACGTCCAAGTGAAGCGTCTGCAGCGGAGCCTCTGTCGGGGGAAACTGAGAGGAGTGAGGGGCAGCCCGGAGCCGCCCCTCGACACAGGGAACACAGGAAGGACCAGGCCCCGAAGGAAGGGGAGGGAGGGACTAGGGGAGACCAGAGACAAGGACACGGGAGGCCATGCCCCAAAGACGAGGCAGGGAGGGGTGACCAAGACGGTGGTGCCACAGGAGAGTCTCGTGAGACAGGAGGCGACACGAGCAAGGGGCAGACTCAGGACCAGACCTGGACGCAGCAGCAAACACCTGACCCGACGCAGCTACCTGGCCAGACGCAGAGACAGGAGGAGACGCAGTGCTCAGGGTGTAGAGACTCGACCCCGGCCTGCGTGAAAACGTGGCCAGGTGTCGGCCTGTGCGGGCATCCGAGCAGTGGGCCACCCGCTGACTCGCAGGAGTGAACTGGTGAACCCCCGCATCCTGCAGGTCAGCACCACTCACCAAGTTTGTCGAGAACGAGGGGAGGTACAGACCAGACAAGGTGCCCGAGGGGGCAGCCGGACACAGGAGGACTGTGGAGAAGTGAGAGAGGATAGGACCCCCAGAGGGGTCAGCCAGGGAGACTGCAACCGGCCGACTAAGCGGCGTGAGTGTGGTGCGGTCTCGAAAGAAGGAGCGAGAAGCCCCCGAGTCAAGCGTGAAGGTGAGGGAGGCCGAAGCCGACGCGGTACCTGAGAGCGCAGCCTCACCAGTACCTGAGGGCGCAGACGCGTTGGCACCTAGAGCAGCAGCCTCACAAGCACCTAGCGCAGCAGTACCTATGCCCGGGTTGGGCGGGAAACACCGGTAACAATCACCCTCATCACTAATAGTCACAGCATACATGGCAGCAAGGATAGCATCAAAGTCAAGATCATAGATAGCTACGCCTGCCCTAGACAGCTCTCCCCAGCGGGGGATCTCACTAGCCTCGGGGAACTGCTGACGCCAAGCGTCCGTCAGGCGGCCAAAGCAGCGCTGGGTGGGGTGGGCACCCCCACACTGCTCACCCGCGCGGTCGCCGGAGCGAAGGACGTAGGTGCACGGACCAAAACCCCCACCACGCTGACGCTGCGTGTACCACTCACGGAGCTGCTGAGGGGGGGGGGATGTCCCGAGAACGCTGCTGCTGCTGCTGCTGCTGGCGCTGACCACCACCAGAGCTGATCCGCTGCGAGGCACCACCCCGACCAGCTCCACCTCCTCCGCCACCGCCGCCTCCACCGCCGCCACCACCGCCACCTCCGCTCCCACCGCTACCGCCGCCGCCGCCTCCGCCTCCACTGCCGCCACCACCACCACCACCTCCGCCACCACTCCCACCGCCACCCCCACTCCCTCCGCCGCCTCCACCGCCACCTCCACCACCCCCGCTAGCTCCACCCGCGCCCTTGCCCCCCTTGCTCTTGCCAGAGCAGCGTCTCCCGCTAGGGGCAGACGCCGCACTGACCGACTCAAGACCAAGTAGGTCGGCCGCAGCAGCAGAGGCGTCAGAGGGCAACAGGGGGGAAGGGGAACACCCCTCAAAGATGGGGGTGCGAGGGTCACCACGAGAGGCTCCTACAGCGACTATGCTCTTCTCCGCTGCTAGGAGGGCCTTCTCTAGGAGGTCAACAGTGAGAGTGGTGGGACAGACTGAGAGAAAGTGGTCCCTGACTACGCGAAGGGAGTCAGGGAGGAGGGTGACTATGTAATAGAGAGTGATGTACATGGGGGGGGGTTCTTGGCGCAGAACTCAGCAGGCAGCGCGGCGCGGTAGCGAGTGTCACTAGTGCGGAGGTGCGTAATGAGGTCAGCAACTGTGGGAAATGTAGCAAGGTCAGGGAAGAGGTACAGTAGCATGAGGCGGCTCGGTGCAGCAGTGGCAGGGGAAGAGTAGCGCGCAACTACAGCGTCGTACAAGGTCTGAGCACTCTTGTACTGACTAAAGTGCTCGCGCTCAGTGGTAGGCAGGTGGCGACGCACAGCAAGACGTGCAGCAGCATCGCGGGTGGCCCACTAAGAGCGAACAGTGGGGTCAGCATCAGCAGCAGGGGCAGGAGAGGCGCCAGAGGTGAGGTCAAAGAGAGAAAGACCGTCCGCCCTATCGCACTGTAAGAACAGCTGCAGGTCGTCGACCCAGACCTCAAAGTCAATGGCTCGACCCTCAGCGTCAAAAGCGAGAACACTGGGGGTAGCCATGACGACGGTAGACTAGCAGTGCAAGCAGTAGGGGAAGGGCACGCAGTGACAGAGAGGCTGTGCTCACCGGACAGGGCTGCTCGGGCGGCTCAACTGTAGGGCGGCTCGGCGGCTGGGCGGCTTGGCTGCTGGGCGGCTCGGCGGCTCGGCTGCGGGGCGGCTCGGCTGCTGGGCGGCTCGGCGGCTGGGCGGCTCGGCTGCACGGCGGCTCGGCTGGTGGGCGGCCGGGCGGCTCGGCGGCAGGGCGGCTCGGCTCCTCTGGTACAGGGCGGCGCGGCGGTCGGCGGCTCGGGCGCGCTACTGCAGGAGGGGAGAGCGGCGGGGCCGCAGCAGACGGGCGGCGGGGCCCGTTGACGTAGGGCGGCGGGGCCGGTGAAGTAGGGCGGCGGGGCCCTTGAAGTAGGGCGGCGGGGCCCTTGAAGTAGGGCGGCGGGGCCCTTGAAATAGGGCGGCGGGGCCGCAGGTGTAGGGCGGCGGGGCCGCAGCAGACGGGCGGCGGGGCCGCAGACGTAGGGCGGCGGGGCCGCTGAAGTAGGGCGGCGGGGCCCGTTGAAGTAGGGCGGCGGGGCCGCGAAGTGGGGCGGCGGGGCCGCGAAGTGGGGCGGCGGGGCCGCAGCAGACGGGCGGTGGGGCCGCTGAAGAAGGGCGGCGTGGCCGCGAAGTGGGGCGGCGGGGCCGCAGCAGACGGGCGGCGGGGCCGCTGAAGCAGGGCGGCGGGGCCGCGAAGTGGGGCGGCGGGGCCGCTGAACACGGGGGCGGGGTCCGTGAAGTAGGGCGGCAGGGCCGCAGGAGTAGGGCGGCGAGGCCGTAGAGTAGGGCGGCAGGGCCGCGACGTAGGGCGGCGGGGCCGCAAAGTAGGGCGGCGGGGCCGCAGGAGTAGGGCGGCGAGGCCGCAGTTAGGGCGGCGGGGTCGCGACGTAGGGCGGCGGGGTCGCGAATGCGGGTGGCGAGGCCTCGCTAGTAGGTGGCGGGGCCGCACGGACGGGCGACGGGGCCGCTAAGGTAGGGAGGGCCGCTAGGGCGTAGGGGCCGCTAGGGCAGCTCGACGAGGTGAGAGCGCAACTCGGGCGGAGCGCGCTTCGGGCAGGAAAAAAAAATTGAAATTTGGTGGGCCCTAGGCACAGTTCCCACAGAGGAACCTGCTCGATACCATGAGAAAATGAGAACGAGAATGAATGAACTATGAATGAACTGAGTACAAGTACTAACCCTAATTGGGTTGTACCCCTTGTGGGCTACCCCACTATAGCCTACACAATATGCAAAAGCTATATGTTCTGACAAGTGGAGCCTCCGGCGGCCAGTCTACGGTCTCCGCCAGGCACGCCGTGAGTGGCACGACACACTGAGGACTACACTTGCGGTTCTTGGGTTTGCTCCTTCTACTTCCGACCCGTCGCTGTTTCTGCGCACCGACACCTCTTTGCCGCCATTCTACATCCTCGTGTACGTCGACGACTTGGTCTTTGCCACAGCTGACACTGCTGGACTCGCCCACGTGAAGTCCGAGCTGCAGAAGAGACACACGTGCACAGACCTGGGTGAACTGCGCAGCTACCTTGGCTTGCAGATCACCCGGGACAGAGCACAGCACACCATTACCCTGACTCAGTCACACATGGTGCAGCAGGTCCTTCAGCGCTTCGGCTTCACGTACTCCTCGCCTCAGCCCACTCCTCTGTCTACTCGCCACTCGCTCTCAGCTCTGCCTTCAGATGAGTCCGTACAGCCGAGTCGCGGACAAACGCCCGAGATCCCCAGACACGGAACGCAGACGCATCGCCAACCTTCCCCGTCCACAGCAAAGCTGGGGAGGTCTCCGGCATGGAGACCCTGGGCTGAAGGTTGATCTGATGCGCCGCGTACCGGACCGCAAACGGCCACAGAAAATGGGGGGCAGCCGCATGCATCATGGACGTATGAGCGACGTCCATGACCATGCCAATGCGGCGCTCAGCAATCCCATTTTGCTGTGGAGAGTCCGGAAGCGTGAAGGTCTGGCGGATGCCTCGTGCACGACAGTAGGCTCGCAAAAGGCCAGAGGAGAACTCTCCGCCTCTGTCAGAGTGCAGACGCAGAACAGGAAAGTCCGAGCCGAAGCTCCGCCTAAGCTGGAGACGAGCTGCGCGGATCTAGTCGATCAACACCTCAGTGACATCACCCTTGCTGCGCAAGGGGAAGACTGTGGTGTAACGCGAGTAGTCATCAACCACCAGCAGAAAGTAGCGCTCGTGACCCTGTCCACGGACGCGGGCCGGGCCCCACACGTCCATGTGAAGCGTCTGCAGCGGGGCCTCTGTCTGAGGAAACTGAGAGGAGTGAGGGGCAGCCCGCTGCCGCCCGTGGACACAGGGGACGCAGGTAGGGCCAGGCCCCGGAGGAAGGGGAGGGAGGGACCGGGGAAGACCAGAGACAAGGACACGGGAAGCCATGCTTCGGAGACGAAGCAGGGAGGGGTGACCAAGGCGGTGGTGCCAGAGGAGAGTCTCGTGAGACAGGAGACGACACGAGCAGGGGGCAGACTCCGGACCAGACCTGGACGCTGCAGCAAACACCTAACGCGACGCAGCTACCTGACCAGACGCAGTGACTGGAGGAGATGCAGTGGTCAGCGTGTACAGGCTCGACCCTGGCCGATGTTTAAACGTGGCCAGGTGTCGGCCTGTCCGAGCGTCCGTGCAGTGGGTCACCCGCTGACTCGCAGGAGTGAACTGGTGAACCCCCGCATCATGTAGGTCAGCACCACTCACCAAGTTCGTAGAGAACGAGGGGAGGTAAAGACCAGATAGGGTGCCAGAGGGGGCCGTCGGACACGGGAGGATAGTGGAGAAATGAGCAAGGATAGGACCCCCAGAGGGGTCTGCCAGAGAGACTGCAACTGGCCGACCAAGCGGCGTGAGTGTGGTGCGGTCTCGAAAGAAGGAGTGGGAAGCCCCCAATTCAAGAGTGAAGGTGTGAGAGGCCAGAGCCGACGCGGTACTTGAGAGAGCAGACTCACCCGCACCTGAGGAAGCAGACTCACTAGCACCTAGAGCAGCACCCGCACCTGTACCTGGAGGAGGAGACTCACTAGCACCCAGAGCAGCAGCCTCACCAGTAGCTAGAGCAGCAGGCGCTATACCCGGGTCAGGCGGTACGCACAGGTGACCGGCACGGTCAGCACTAATAGGCAATGCATACATGGCAGTAAGAATAGCATCATAGTCAAGAGCAAATATATCTACCCTCTGCCTAAGCAACTCCACCCAGTCGAGGAGCTCAGCCTTGTCGCCAAACTCGGTACGCCAGGCGTCGCTCAGACGGGCGAAGTAGCGGGACTGTGTGTGACTAGGTGTCCCACAAGGCTGACCAGTCCGAGCACTAGTGCGAATCACGTAAGAGCAGCGAACAGAACTGAGAGACCCTCTACTCTGAGCGTACCACTCACGAAGCTGCTGGGGTGTGAGAGACGCGCGTGGGCGTCGCTGGAGCTGCATATGGCCGCCGCCAGTAGTAGTAGCAGCAGTAGTGGTAGCAGTAGCAGCGCCGCCACCCCTACAACCCCAACCAGCGTACCACTCACGCAGCTGCTGGGGCATGAGGGACTCACGCGGACGTCGCTGGGGCTGCATCTGGCTCCGCTAGTAGAAGCAGGAGCTGGAGTTGCAGCAGTAAGGCAGGCAGCCAGGCAGGCCGAAAGGCAGGCAGGCAGGCAAGCAGGCGGCGGGCAGCACGCTAGCAGGGCAGGGGCTCACCAGTGGTGGGAAGAGCAGGCTCGGCGGCTCGGCGGTGCGGGCGGCTCGGGCGGATCGGCGGCACGGCGGCTCGGCAGCAACTGCGGCTCGGCGGCTCGGGCGACTCGGGCGGCTCGGCGGCAACTGCGGCTTGGCGACTTGGCGGCTCGGGCGGTACGGCGGCTCGGCAGCAACTGCAGCTCGGCGGCTCAGCGATCCGGCGGCTCGGGCGGCTCAGGTGGCGCTGCGGCTCGGGCGGCTCGGGTGGCTCGGGCGGCTCGGTAGCAGCTCGGCGGCGCCGGCGGCTCGGTGGTGACGGCAGGGCCGCTTGGGGACGGCGGCGGGGCCGGGTGGAGCGGCGACGGGGCTAGCAGAGGTGGCGCCGGGGCCGCAGGGTAGGTGACGGGGCCAGCAGAGGCGGCGCCGGGGCCGGGAAGGGCGGCGCCGGGGCCGCAGAGGTAGGCGACGGGGCCAGTAGAGGCGGCGCCGGGGCCGGTAAGGGCGGCGTCGGGGCCAGCAGAGGTGGCGCCGGGGCCGGGAAGGGCAGCGCCGGGGCCGCAGGGGTAGGCGACGGGGCCAGCAGAGGCGGGGCCGGGTCGGGAAGGGCGGCGTCGGGGTCGCCGGGGTAGGCGACGGGGCCAGCCGAGGTGGCGCCGGGGCCAGGAAGGGCAGAGCCGGGGCCGCAGGGGCAGGCGACGGGGCCAGCAGAGGCGGGGCCGGGTCGGGAAGGGCGGCGTCGGGGTCGCCGGGGTAGGCGACGGGGCCAGCCGAGGTGGCGCCGGGGCCAGGAAGGGCGGAGCCGGGGCCGGGATGGGCGGCGCCGGGGCCGCAGGGGTAGGTGACGGGGCCGCGAGGGCGGCGCGACGCGGCCGCTAGGGCGGCGCGACGAGATGGGGCCGCGACGGGGCAGCGAGGGGTTGCGCGCGACTCCCTTGGGCGCCGCGACGGGGTAGCGGGGAGTGGCGCGCCTAGAAGGAACGGGGTCGCGCGCCTCGGCGCGCGCGCCAGAGAGAAAATCGCCGCGCGCCAACGGTCGCACGCCACGGGGCGTGCGACAGATCGAGTAGCAGCAAAAGCAGTAGTAGGGCCCACAGGCCAGGATCATATGTGCTTTGAAACCATGTGAAAATGAACGAGAATCAATGCACTATGAAAGAGTTGGGTACAAGTACTAACCCTAATTGGGTTGAACCCCATATAGGCTACCCCACTACAGCCTACACAAAAGCATAAGCTATAATGTTCTGACACTATGTAGGCTATAATGGGGTAGCACATATGGGGTACAACACATTTCTAGGTTTGTACTTGTACCCAACCTTTCCCTTAGTCAATCATTCTTCATTTCTTCACAGCCTACGTGGAACTCAAATTGTGGTTCTGTCGGAAAATTCCACGCGTCAGTGGTTACCATCAGCCTCACATATTTCGTCCATCTTCCCGTCAGTTCCTTCCTACACTCGAGACCAATTCCGTCCGCCTGTACTATACAGTACAACGTGGCTCTGCTCATCAGCATGACGCTTTGGGATTAGGTCGCGTCACCTGCCTCGATGGATCCTGCGCAGGTTCGATTTTTGATTCGGTTCAAAAAGTTTTCAAACAAATTTAAATGCAACATGCGGGATTTTAGTGTGGTGGACGATCGATCTTCCTCGATTTTGCAGGATCGATCGAGGGAGGTGACGCGTCCTTATGAACAATGTTCTATCACGAACCGCTTTGGGGGGCTCTGGAACTTGCCGCCACAATTCGCCTGGTTGTCGTCCGTGTGACGTTGCTTTCCCTCCAAAATGTGGCCCGCTTTCAGGCCCCTCAATCTCTACCGACCGGGGAACCAAGCGAATAGGGGAAAAGCATATTTTAGCGGGGAACCAAGCCGAAAACCACCACCGTACAGTCGGTGCCCATTTCAAGAACACTAGGTAGGCGGGCGGCATGTGCGTGAAACGTGTTTGACAAATTTCGCCACATTCGCCCTTGTCGCCACGGGCAAAAATGTGACAGTAATATGAAATTGCAACGTGAATCGAGTTAAGGGCTTTATTTTCGTAACCAGGTTAACTTCGCTGATGGGCAACCGTTGTTGTTTATCTACTGTAGATGTTTTTCTTCCTCAGCTTGGTGACTGTACCCCGAAATCGGCACAATGGTCAATTCAGTCACTCACGGGCAAAACGTTCGCGAGTGACTAATTTCCGATTTGTAAGATGCAAATGTTCGGTGATAGGCTGAGCATCGACTGTACTGCCGACATTCCCAGGCCGTGAAACCCCTCCTCTTTGACTCGACATAACTAAGGCCACCACCACAACTGCCATCAACTGCCACACGCACCTCCCAACGCAACGTCGACAACACCAGCCATCTCTAAAGACGCGAGCAGGTTCTCTTGGTTTCATCGCAACCCAATTCCAGCTGTCCAAGGCGCGCCAGACCCTTATCACCCAGTGACTCAGCCAGGCTTCTCCTGGGACCACAAAGCCGTCTCTTACCCAATTGCGACCGAGAGTCTCGCCACGCCATGCATGCGTGTCTGGCCTCCCCGTGCGCAATGAACGTCACCCGCCCAACATCGTATGCCAGCACGCATCCTCCTCCCAGGAGCGACATACAGTCTGCCATCGATTGCTCCTCGCCAGGTTCGTTCTCAAGCTCCTCGCCACCACTGCTCTCTCTCGCCAGGTTCTCACCACCCCTCATCCCATGCAGCTTCACCGGAGGTGGAGTATCGATGTGCCTTTTATCGATTCGCGCGCGCGCTTGTCATCGCACCTTTTAGGACGCCTTGCTGTTTCAAGTAGTTACCTGATCAAGTCTTCCACTCGCCACTGTTTCCGTATCCTCGTGCATTCACACACTCCAGAACGAGAATCAGAGTCGTGCTGCCAGCGCTCCCAAGCTCTTCCAGGCTCATCGCGCGTTGCTGCGATTGGTCCCACCGGTCAGCATCGCACCACCATCATGAACTCCTCTCAGGTACCTCACCCCTCCCCCTTTTCTTTTTTCTTGTGATGGGTCGGATCGCCGCGTCGGTTTACGCTTCTGTAGTTCGCTTGTTTCAGTTTCTCGTGTTGCCTTCTCCCTCTTGCCATCCCTCGCTGTGTCCGCCAGGCCATGTCGCCCGCCGTAGAAACACGTGCTTCCGCATCCTCTGTGGACTCTCCCGCCACTCACCTCTCGCCGAACCCCGTCCCTTCGTCGTGCGCTGACTCGTACCGCCGCCCCCGTCACTTCCTCAAACGCTCCGTTCGCTCCCCGATCCCTTCCTCGCCGTCGCCCTCGTCCGCCAAGCGCGCGTGCAAGCGGCGACTGTTCCTCGAGTTGGACGAGGCGCCTCGGCGCGATGGAAACGAGTGTTCCGCTTCCTTCGCCGGCGATGACACGGAGGTGGCGACGCCTCTGTTCCGCGAGGAGTACTCACGCCACCACACGCTCCTACGCTCGCTGCCGTCGCCTTTGCACCTGGGCCTCTCGTGCGCGGACGTCACAGCCCACGTCGCCTCCACTAAGTTGTACGACGGCGAGCGCGACGGCGCATCGTCTCCGTGCTCGTCTGTGGCGGACGGCGAGTGTGGGCAAGTTCCCACGCCAGGGCGGGTAGAGGGCCCGCTGAGCAGCTTCTGGGAAGCAGGTACTACCCACTGCCCCTCACGCGATTTCCTGTGCGTGTCAGAACCTCTTTGAACACTGGGTGCCAATAGTTCGTTTTGTTCTGATATATTCTTCTCTTGTCACCTGTATGTGTGTCCCCGCTGCAGATGTCACCACACCTCCTACCTCACCTCGCCCCGATGCGCCCCCTGTCTGCCCCGGCGCGCCTATGAAGCCCCGCCCACTTGCAATCACATGCCACGTGCCCTCTGCTGCCCTGCACCGCATCATGCGCCCCCTCTTCCTCTGACTCCACCTCTGGCATATGAATCTCCACACACGCCCTGCTCACCTTCACGTGGGTGCTGCTGGCATCTAACAGCCTACTGACAGGCATGCAATTGCCCGCTCAATGGATGACACATAAGAGTGCTGCTCCCAAGCCACATGCACTAGTAAAGCTGTCCGTGACTTAGACTATGGCCACGGGCAGATGTGGTGACAGGTAATTGAAAGTCGCCCAGTAACGCTTTCTTTAGCTCTTGACTTGTGGCAGCAGCAATTGGAATATGTCTCCTCCGTATTAGGCCTGTAATTGTACATATACCACTAAACTACCATTGCCTTGCAGAAACTTCAGATGAACTACTAATCTCAGACCTCCAAACCATGAACTTGGTACTAAATAACTTTCTAGGGACGTTGTTTGTGTTCCTGGAAATACCGGAAGGCATTTCAGTATACGATACCTAAAGTTCCCATACACCCCTTAGATATTTCCATGGTTGCACCAATTGTCATCCTCTATACTGTAGTGGTCATTACAGTATGGTCAAGTCGCTGCTTGTGCCACCCTGCCACCCTTCGTGGCGGGCAGCACGGGCGTGGCGCGCCAGGCGGCGGCGAGGAGGCTGCCGCAGAGGGAGTGCATGACGGAGGAGACAGCACAGGGCGCTGCCACCCGCGGGTCGGGGAAGTGCTGCATGGCCAGCACCACCCCCAGCACCGAGTTCTGCCGTCCGTGGTGCACACACGGGGAAGAGGGGGGCAGGAGAGGCAGTTGCAAGGTCGGCGCATTACAATACAGCGATGGACTGCACTTGGTAGATGCAACGTGGAAAAGAGGACCATGCACATTTCACTTCAACAGGAGCATAGGCACAGAGCAGCCTTCCAGCATACAGGGTGACGCACGCACCTGCATGCCGACTTCAATGGATATGGTGCGGCTGGCAGACTCATCGAGGCGCAGCACAGCGCGGGGCAGCAGGTAGCCGAGGGCGAAGCCCAGCCCGTGCAGTGCGAGCACGGAGAGCAGCAGCGGCAGCGCGGCGCCTCGGATGGTAGCGGCGGAGCCCGAGATGGCCCCCGCCACGATGAGCGCCACTGTCAGCACCGCCAGCACGGGCGAGAAGAGCGCCAGGTGGCGCGCCACTGCGGGGAAGAGACGCGCGAGCAGGCAGCCCGTGAACACAGGCAGCATCACCACCTGGGGGGGGGGGGACGAGAAGGAAGGAGGAGGGCAGCGGCAAGAGCATATGCTCAATAAAGAATTTGCACTACTCACATGGACTTCGCACCCACAGCTCACAGCCCATATACTGCCATCCCCATTTCATTCGCCCATCCTGGAGTTGGCAGAGGTCTTAACTCCTCTGATTCCACCTTGTGCTTCGTTGTCCCTTGTTTTTTTTTCCCATTGAATCTGGTTTTGATTCTTCTTCTAACAGAACCATATGCTTACGCATTTACAACGAACATTCACAACGAACATTCACAACAAACATTCACAACGAACATTCTATATCACATAAAGGGCGGAATGGAGTGGAGTGCTGGTAGAGAGTACCTGCAGGGTGGACATGAAGAGAGCAGCCCCATTGACGGGCACGAAGCGACCAGCCAGAAGGGAGGTGAGGAGAGGAGTCATCACCTGCGGGGAATCGGGGGGTCAGAGGAGGCACGGGGATGGGAGGCGAGTCAAGGAACACGTTGGCTACTAGGAAAGGCAAAGGGAACAAGTCGGTGAAGCGAGTGGAGTCACTTGCATACCACGGCTAGCAGAGTGCTGAATGTCGTCATGAGAACTGAGAGAGCCACGTTGCCCCTGTTGCCACAGCGAGGGACGATGAGAGTTGAGAGGGGCAGAGGGAAATGGGAAAAGTAAGAGAAGAGCCCGTGCCCAGCATGCTGGCTGGGGAGCAGCAGGCGAAGGGGAAGGCAGTGGGAGGATATGGTGGAAAGAATGACTATCCAGAGCTGGTATGAGGATGAGGCTTGTTGACATGCAGGCAGTGCAGCAGTGATTTGGTGGCAGCAGGCAGCAGGGCCAAATGACTGACCGTGCAAGGAAGGTGACGATGTTGCTGGCAGTGCCTGGTGGAGGGCAACAGTGCACACAGTGGGGCATGAGCACGAGCACACACACACACACATACACAGATACACACATGGGTACAGACACAGACACACCGTCAGATATGCGTGCGCACACATACGCACACACAGATATCCATGTATAAACACAGATTGATGCACTTGTTTCATACAATCAGACACAAGGTGAATAAAGAAACTGAGAAAATCTCTGTGAGATGAGAGGGCAAAGAGGTGAGAGAGCAGGGAGGGCAGGGATGCAAAAGTTGTGAAGGGGCACAGCACTCGGTGCATGCATGCGCGATGGGGCATGTGTGGCAGGGGCGGCGGGAGCACTGACCGCCGGGGCAGCAGGCTACGAGCACAAGGCCGGTGGCGAAGGCCGAGAGGTGCGGCGGCAGACCGCGAGAGACGAGCGCCCCCAGACATGGCATCACCTGCCCACGCACACGGGGAGACAGGCGGACGCCAAGGACTTGGGTGGATGAGGGCGTGGGCGATGGACGAAGGTGTGGGCATTGGCAGGAGGAGGAGATTTGAAAGGGACAGCATGGCATAGCGGCAGCAGCGCATTGCTACAGCATTTTTGCAGTGCGCACACAGTAGAGCGTAGAGCGTGGCATGCTAGCCATGTGATGGCGCCATGGCCTTGCCCCATGGGGAGGAGCGCAGCATGCATGCAGGCGGCTCACCGTGTACTGCAGCAGCACGCCCGCCAGCAGCTGCCGTGGCATGAGCACGGCGCGCCTGAAGTCATCCACACTGATCGTCAGCCCCATGCCTGGCGCATGGCGTACGGGCATGGGGAAGGGGGGCGTGGTGTACGGCATGGGCATGCGCAACAACAACAAGGGGAGGTCATTCACGGTTAAGGGAGGGAAGATGAGGCGGGCAGCAAATGCAGATCAAACTCTACATGCCGTGTGACTCTCAGTCTGCTCGCCATTCTCACGACCTTCGTCGCCCCATCCTACCATACCCTGCCGCCCACTCACCCAGCATCGTGAGCGCAAGCCCACCAACTACAAATCGGCTGTCCTGGCAAACGACAAAATGCGCCGGCCAGCGGAGGGCGGCAGCACACGCGAGTGCGACCCACAGGGGGAAGAGCGTCACGAGAGTCGACACCGCGCTGTTCGCCTCCGCGTGCTGTATTTCCGCCACCTGCGCCGTCGCTTCCGCGCTTTCCCCTGCTACGGAAGCTCCATCATCTGCCTGCGCCCTTCCAGTGGAGTCGTCGGCTTGAGCGCGGAGCTCCCGCCATTCCCTCCTCTCCCGCCTCGAGCACTTCCGCCAAGGGTTGTCCGCGATCGAGCGGACCAGCTCTGAACCCGCATTTCGCGGCCGAAAGAGAGCATTCGCGCGGAGTGCGCTTGGCAGGGGGCACGATTCTATGCGGAAGTATGGGCGGACGGCCCCGTGGGACAACTGGGGGAGTGGCGCAGAGGAGTGCACAATAATGTGCGGGGCACTGGAGGAGGCTGGCGGCATGATAGGCATACAATACTAGCAGCACGCGTAAAAGCGAAGAATGAGAGCTTTACAGGCTACAAAATACTGAGAAATTGACGCCTCCACCTTCATAATAGGCCCCAAAAGTGTTAAAGCTGCTGTCTACACACTTGGAGCGGAAGGCAAAGGCATATCACAGGAAACAGGGTAACCCTGCTTCTACAAGTACCCCTCTGCAGTAGTATACATTTGACAGCGGGGTTCAGGGTTTTATAGTGTGCCCCACAATTTACCATCTAGAAACTTTTGGCACTCCACCTGCTTGGTTTACTCTAAAGAGTGCCCCTGTTACGGGTGCAATGAATCGAAGTAGCGAGAATTGCACTAAGGTGTCAAACGAGTACAAAATGTGAGCGAAGGCATGAGCGAACATTTATACGCGAAACATGCAAAACGGTAACGCGGTGCGTGCGAGCTTGCTAGTGCTACGCTGGAGCGAGGCTCGGGCTAGTCCCGAAGCGTAGGCCGATACGACCATGCCAGCAGTGCGAGGTTTGGCAAAACAGTGCGCGCGAAGTCGGCGAAGTTCCGTTAGCAGTAACGGGCGAACAATCGGCTGTTGCTGTACGCGATGTAGTCGGCCCCGTAAGGAATGCCGCGAAAATTCCTTACACTACCCCCCCCCTTAAGAAGCCCCCTCCGCTACGCGAGTGCGTGTATATCGCGGAATCCCCGGCTCCTCAGGTACACTTGCAGGGCAGGGTGATTTTCGATGTTGCTCAGGGGCACCCAGCTATCTTCAGTTGGCGTGCGGTCTTTCCAGCGAACGAGGAATTCAATCCTCCTGATTCCCGTGGGGTGGCGGATACGATGGCTCAGAATTTTGTCGGGCTCGATGATCGGCTCTGATGCAGGGCGAGTCATTGATTGTGGCCGGTGACGCGGCAGTTGACTTGTGGTCGGGATGTATGGGCGAAGTAGGCTGACGTGGAACGAAGGGCTGATGTACCAGTCGGTTGGCAACAGTAGGTGCGCGGTGACGGGTGTGATCATGTGGCTGATTTGGAATGGTCCACAGTAGCGCGGTCGTAATTTTGGTACGTCGGGCAGTCGCAGATTTTGCGTGTCAAGCAGCACGTAATCTCCAGATTGGTACGTGACAGGACGGCGGTGGCGATCAGCGTTGCGCTTAGCGATGACGTTGGCCTTTTTTATTGCTTCGGCAGCTCTGGCGCGGGCAGCTTGCAGGATTTCGGCGAATTGTTGTGCACGTGGCGTTGGGTTGTCCGGACTCGGCGTCATGGGCACTGTGGGGTTTTGCCCATAGTTCAGGTAGAACGGGGACTGCTGCGTCGTGGCTGATGTGGCGTTGTTGTACGCGAACTCGATCAGCGGCAGCTGTTGCTCCCAGGTCGTGGGGTCGTCACACGTGGCACGAATCAACTGCTCCATCGTCTGATTCGTCCGTTCCGTTTGGCCGTCGGTCTCGGGGTGGTACGACGAACTGAACTGTAGCCTGGTCCCGAACTGCTCCCAGAGGTTCTTCCAGAAGTTGCTGGTAAACTTCGTGTCCCTGTCGCTGATAATTGCTGCTGGTATCCCGTGCAGGCGAACAACGGCTGCGATGAACAGGCGAGTGGTCTCCTCGGCCGAGATCGACTTTTTGCACGCAGCGAAGTGTGCCATCTTCGTCAGCCTATCCACGACGACCATCACCGCGTCGTTACCCCCAGGGTTCGAAGGTAACCCTGTGACGAAGTCCATGGTTACTTGCTGCCAGGCGCGTTCGGGCGGTGGTATCGGCTGCAATTGACCCGCCTTCCGCTTCCTTGAACTCTTTATCACCTAACACGTAGGGCACGAGCCCACGTGCTGCTGTACGTCGGTCAACAGCTCCGGCCAGTAATAGGACCGCTGCAGTTGCTGTCGTGTTTTTTCTACCCCGAAATGTCCCGAGGTAATCCTGTCAGAGTATTATAGCTGATGCATGTTTGTAGGCTATAGTGGGGTAGCACATATGGGGTACAGGGTTTCTAGGGTTGTATTTGTACCCAATCTTTCCTTAGTCATTCTCATTCCTGTTTTCCTTGCTTCACATGGTATAGAGCGGGTCCTGCCTTAGGACCGTTTTTTTAGGGCCCACCGAAGCGCGCCCCGAGGCGCGCCCCTTTTTTTTAGCGACCCCTCGGGTCGCCTTTTCCCTCGCGGCCCCGCTGTCCCTCAGACGCGGCCCCGCCACCTCTCCTGATCGCGGCCCCGCCGCCTGCTTGACGCGGCCCCGCCGCCTCCCCTGACGCGGCCCCGCCGCCTCCCCTGACGCGGCCCCGCCGCCTCCCCTGACGCGGCCCCGCCGCCTCCCCTGACGCGGCCCCGCCTCTACTGCCGCGGCCCCGCCGCCGCCTCTGACGGCCCCGCCGCTGCACCCAGCGGCCCGCCGCCTCTGACGGCCCCGCCGCTGCACCCTACGGCCCGCCGCTGCTCCTGCCGGCCCGCCGCCTCACCTGACGGCCCCGCCGCTGCTCCTGCCGGCCCGCCGCTGCTCCTGCCGGCCCGCCGCTGCACCTGCCGGCCCGCCGCTGCACCCAGCGGCCCGCCGCTTCACCTGACGGCCCCGCCGCTGCACCTGCCGGCCCGCCGCTGCACCCTACGGCCCGCCGCTGCACCCTACGGCTCGCCGCCTGCACCAGCCGGCCCGCCGCTGCACCTGCCGGCCCGCCACTGCACCGGTCGACCCGCCGCTGCACCTGACGGCCCCGCCCCTGCATCTCCCGGCCGAGCCGCCCCAGCAGCCGAACCGCCCGGGAGCCGAGCCGCCCTACGCCGAGCCGCCCGGGACCCGAGCCGCCCTGCCGCCGAGCCGCCCGGGAGCCGAGCCGCCCTGCACCCGAGCCGCCCAGCCGCCGAGCCGCCCGGGAGCCGAGCCGCCCTGCGCCCGAGCCGCCCAGCCGCCGAGCCGCCCGGGAGCCGAGCCGCTGTGCACCCGAGCCGCCCGGTCGCTGAGCCGCCTTTCTGCATAGCTGCACGACCTGCCCTGCCTGGTGAGCACAGTCCCACTGCCACTGCGAGCTCTTTCCCTACTGCTTGCACTGCGTCGCTGTCGTCGCCATGGCTACCCCTAGTGTCCTAGCTTTTGACGCTGAGGGTCGCGCCATTGATTTTGAGGTCTGGTTAGACGACCTGCAGCTGTTCTTACAGTGCGACAGGGCTGACGACCTTTCTCTCTTTGACCTCACCTCTGGCGCCTCTCCTGCTCCTGCTGCTGATGCTGATCCCGCTGTCCGCTCTAAGTGGGCCACCCGCGATGCTGCTCCACGTCTTGCTGTGCGTCGCCACCTCCCTACCTCTGAGCGTGCGCACTTTAGTCAGTACAAGAGTGCTCAGACCTTGTACGACGCTGTAGTTGCGCGCTACTCCTCCCCTGCCACTGCTGCACTGAGCCGTCTCATGCTTCCCTACCTCTTTCCTGACCTCTCTGCCTTTCCCACTGTCGCTGACCTCATTACGCACCTCCGCACTAGTGACACTCGCTACCGCGCCGCCCTTCCTGCTGAGTTCTGCGCTAAGAACCCCCCCCCCCATGTACATCGCTCTCTACTACGTAGTCGCGCGCCTCCCTGACTCCCTTCGTGTCGTCAGGGACCACTTTCTCGCAGTCTGTCCCACCACCCTCACCGTCGACCTCCTCGAGAAGGCCCTCCTCGCAGCGGAGAAGAGCATAGTCGCTGTAGGTGCTTCTCGTGGTGACCCTCGCACCCCCATCTTTGAGGGGTGCTCTCCTTCCCCCTTGCTGCCCTCTGTTGCCTCTGCTGCTGCTGCCGACCTGCTTGGTCTTGAGTCGGTCGGCGCGGCGTCTGCCCCTAGTGGGAGACGTCGCTCCAGCAAGGGCAAGGGGGGCAAGGGCGCGGGTGGAGCTGGAGGGGGCGGTGGCGGTGGCGGCGGTGGCGGCGGAGGGAGTGGGGGTGGCGGCGGGACTAGTGGCGGGGGTGGTGGTGGTGGTGGCAGCAGTGGCGGAGACGGTGGTGGTGGTGCCAGCGGTGGTGGTGGAGGCAGCGGCGGTGGTGGAGGCGGCGGAGGTGGAGGCGGTGGAGGCGGCAGCGGAGGAGGCGGTGGTGGTGGAGGAGGTGGAGCTGGTCGAGGTGGTACCCAGCAGCGTAGCGGCGGTGGTGGTGGCCAGCGCTCGCAGCGGCAGCAGCAGCAGCGCTCGCGGGACATCCCTCCGCCTCAGCAGCTTCGTGAGTGGTACGCTGGGCGTCAGAGGGGTGGGGGTACTGGTCCCTGCACCTACGTTCTTCGTTCCGGCGACCGCGCGGGTGAGCAGTGTGGGGGTGCCCACGCCACCCAGCGCTGCTTTGGCCGCCTGACGGACGCTTGGCGTCAGCAGTTCCCTGGGGCTAGTGAGATCCCTCGCTGGGATGAGCTTCTCAGGGCTGGTGTAGCGATCTTTGATCTTGATTTTGATGCTATCCTTGCTGCTATGTATGTTGTGGATTATAGTGAGGAGAATGAGGGTTACCGTTGTTTCCAGCCCGACCCGGGCATTGGTACTGCTGCGCTAGGTGCTTGTGAGGCTGCTGCTCTAGGTGCCAGTGCGTCTGTGCTCTCAGGTACTGGTGAGACTGCGCTCTCAGGTACTGCGTCGTCCTCGTCCTCCCTCACTTTCACACTTGACTCCGGAGCTTCTCGCTCCTTCTTTCGAGACCGCACTACCCTTACGCCGCTCGGCCGGCCGGTTGCGGTCTCCCTTGCTGACCCCTCTGGGGGTCCTGTCCTGTCTCACTTCTCCACTGTCCTCCCGTGTCCGGCTGCCCCTTCGGGCACCCTGTCGGGTCTGTAGCTTCCCTCGTTCTCTACGAACTTGGTGAGTGGAGCGGACCTGCAGGATGTGGGGGTTCACCAGTTCACTCCTGCGAGTCAGCGGGTGACCCACTGCACGGAGGCACGCACAGGCCGACACCTGGCCACGTTCTCGCGTCGGCCGGGGTCGAGTCTCTACACCCTGACCGTTGAGTCTCCTCCTGTCCCTGCGTCTGGTCAGGTGGCTGCGTCGG